GAGGCCTTGCGTGCTTTTCTGCAAAACTGGAAGACAATAGTGAGCCATTTTAAGCAGATATCAACTGAGGGATCATCTGAATCTGCTAAAGTTAAAGGCATCCTGAAAGACCTGAAACAGCTGAAGTTTGTGAAACTTTTGCATTTCCTATTCGATTTTTTATAGCAAGCTGAAACCTTTGTCAAAAGGTCTTCAGAACAAGGAACTTATGATCTGTCAGGTAAAAAACAAACTAGAACATGCAGTTAAAACTCTTCAGGATCTTCCTGATGGGAAAGGAAAAAACAAACTTGAATTTCTTAGTAAGTTTACAGAAGATGGAAAACTATATGGGCTGCAGCTGACCAACCTTCAAGCTGGTGACAGAGAATTTCAGTCTATACGCCAATCTGTATTGGCCAAAGCAGAAAGATATTTAATTTTGAGGCTTTCTTCATTCTCCTCAGATATTGTACAATCTATCAATATATTTAATAGCGTTTCTTGGCCAGACAAAGCACACATCCTCAACTTCGGATTGACTGAGTTGCACAGAATTGCAAAACATGTTTTTGATAATCAGTTTGAAGACAAAATTGACCTGTTAGAAGCAGAGTGGGCTGACCTAAAACTCTCCATTCAAAATGGACTCTCTTTTAATGAGACTCTGAAAAGATTGAATCAGCAGAAAGAAAGATTCAGCAACATACTCCCTCTGCTCAATTTCTGTGCTGTACTTCCCCCAACGACCGCCTCATGTGAACGTGGCTTTAGCTACCAAAACAGAATAAAGACGGTCTATCATTCATCACTGACACTGGAGACTTTGGATGATCATCTGATGATTGCCGTTAACCTCCCTAGCGGTATGATTATGTCAATATTTCTGTGCTCAAAGCGGTACATTTTTTTGCATGTAAATATGTAGTTTTTTTATTGTAGGCCTGTAATTTTTAGGAATAACTCACTGAAATCTGTCCGAACAAGAGTCTAGTAAACATATATGATAAAATTTGAAACACGAAATCATAAATTATAATATAATAATCATAAAAAATAATAATAATTAATTAATTAAATAATATAATAAAGCCAAAAACACTGAAATTTGAAATATAGCGCAAAGTTCGCACATCACTGAGCTTAGTCGCAAAATCGTTTTCAGTGTCTGATGACTAATTTCCCCACAAATCATTATCACTCAATTCTGCAAGTGGTTCTGATTTACTATCGCTGTTCTCTAGGTGGTCTAAAACAGCTTTTGACATAAAGGGACGCTTTTTGGACGCCATGGACTTTTCTCTCTCATGTCCAGGCAGGGCACAGGACAAAGCACTAGGGACAAAATGTATGTGAAATGATTTGATACAGTAATGTTTTACTATGTGATTTTAGTGTATTTAGTGAATGTTACCTTTTAATATTGTTTAATTTCCTGCCAGTTCTGGCCCCCGTTTGTCCCGTATGTCCCAATGGTCGCAGGGACCGGGGCCCTGAAGACGGATGCTGACATCGGCCAGAAGAGATGGCCGCGGACGCTGCAGGGGGGACATTGTGGGAGCGCAAGACAAGGTATATACTGACACTGTACGAAAGCGCACAGGCTGGGTGACGGGCCGATCATAGGGTTAATAGGGGGTGATCCAAGGGTTAAATGTGCTAATCGACCGTGTGTGTGTGTAAAATTTAGTGCTTTTACTTGGTGTCGTGTCTTCTCTCCCTGGACCAATCAGGGGGGCAGCGGGTGTGCGCAGGCACGTTCACACCCCAAAATAGGAAGAAACGCAAGATTACATTGCTTTGCCAAGAGCTGCTGCAAATAGCTGGCAAGCAATTACAAAAAAAAAACCCTTAAAAAATTTTTTTTTTTTAATTCTCAATATGGTATTTTTTATTTATTTTTTTGTACACTTTGCTTTGCAGGAGAAATAAGATAATTTCTCCTGCAATGAAAAGCTTGCTATCATGAACCTAACTCATTCATGAACTGTCATCAATGAGTTAAGTTTTTGACAGCTCAAGATAGTGATCTATGATTGGCTGGAACTGGTCACATGGTACAGGGTGCTGTTTTTGGCCCCATGTATCATGTGACAGCTGTGAGCCAATCACAGCTCAATAGGAAGAGAAGCAGAGCTATTATGAATGAAATAGATTCATAACAGCTTTGCTTCCATTGTGATCATGTGATCGCATTGTGATCACATGATCACCGTGTCCCGTTCACTGGGATCTTCATTGTGCTGTGTCCGCTGGACACAGCATTCGCGGTGGGGGAACACAGCACCCCCTTGTGTTGGTACAGCCAGGTACGTCGCTTTGTAGCTGCTCCCCAGCCGCAGTACATTGCAGTCGGGCGGTCAGGATGTGGTTAAAGTATGTGAACCCTTACCTTGTAAAACAACCCATTTTGTTTAAAATAGAAATGAAAGGCAAAACATTTGTGTACTAATATAAAAAAAACCCCATAAATTCCTTTTTTCCCTCTTTTATCACAAACCCTTTATTCTCAGCTGATGAAGGATCTTAGAGAGCTGGGGAGGAGAAACAGCAGGACACTGGTCTTCTCATTGTATGGCTGTGAAGGTGGGGGGGGGGTGTCAGCACAAGCATGTTCATTGGAATAGCTCCAAGCACAGCCAGAAAGCTGACCACACTGTGCTCTCGTGCCTAGTGTGGCCAGTTTTTAATAGGAATGCAGAGGAGCTTGCAAGAACACCAGGTATTTCACACAAAAGAAGCAATACAAAGAGAACAGGATGTATTTTCATACAAGTACATAGTATAGCAGACACATATCAGAAATATGAAATGTTGGGTTGTCATATTCTTTAATCTTGAGGAGAGTGCCCAGTGTAGAAGGGTTTTCAGTGGAGCAAGCAAAATTAAACAGGTAGCTTAAGCCCCTTTTTATATATTAGATTTAGCTTTTTTCCTTCAAAGTTTCTAAACAAGAATCTGGAGTACTGTGATAAAGAAAACGTTTGTACTGACAGAAGTATGTTGGTTGCCATTGCTAACCTTCTAAAAATTCTGGTTGCTTGGCTGCCCCTTGCTTAAATACTGGCATAGAACACATGCAGCAAGTGAAATTTGAATTCCCGATCCGAATATTAGTTTCAGTTCAGTAACACAAAGGGGGAGAGTTACTAAAACTGGTGCACACCGAATCTGGTGCAGCCATGCACAGTAACCAATCATCTTCCATGTTTTATTGTCAAAGCCTAATTGAACAAGTTAGAAGCTGATTGGTTACTATGCCCAGCTGCACCAAAATCCGTGTGCACCAGTTTTCATAAATCTCCCCCAAAATGTATTGAGGCAATTGGATCAGTTGATCCCCAGGTAACTAGCATTTTCAGTAGAAGTCTGCAATAGTTGTTTCCATATTTTTTCAGTACAGGATTCATGTAAATACTGATGTGTTGTATTTCATTAATGTAAAACTGTACATGGCCATGTTTAGTATGTTGCTTTGGATAAATTATTTGGAATAAATTAATGAAACGATTGATTAAATATAATGTTCTTAGTGTCTCCAAAGATTCTCAGCTATGTTAGGGTTAATCCATCATTTTTTTTCTTAATGCCCTTTCTTGCTTGATAGAAGCTATTCTATTTGCTATGATGCTGCCATCATAAGACCAATGGAGGCTGATCTGCTCCTGGAAAGGGAGGAGAGGGAGCTGATGTAGAATCTGCCCCCTCCCCCTCCTGTTCTTTCTGTCTCCTCCATTGCACATCCACAATAGCTGATGTTTCAGCTTCTGAACCTGTACCAGTTGTGAGCTCTCTATTGACAATCTGCTACATCACTACCACAAACATGACCACTGTATCTGGGATTACATCACAAAGTACATTACAGGAATGAAAAACCACATCAACCTGACAAGCCTCTAAATGTGTAAAAATGGTGATTTTGCAAGGATTTAAACTAATGATTTTTAGTTATGTATACCAGGCAGAAGACGAGTGAACTAGAAGACGATTCAGTGTAGCCATTTTCCATAATAATTTACTTTCCACATTGCCGAATCTTCTGTTTGGAAAGGTATGTACGTTAAAATGACATTTCCCTGAATGTAGTCGTTGAATGAATTATGGTTTGCAACCACCCTTTTAATTGTATATTTGTGTTTATGTTTACGGTGATGCTTAATCATAGACAATCTGAGAACAGCAATCACGGCCTTATGCTACATATTGCACAGGAAAATTGTATCAATTGCCTTTTTTAATATGCTTGTTTCTGATTTCTAAACCTATCAAAATATTGTCAGTGATTATTGTTTAGGAAAATGTTAATGGATATATTGTATAAGAGGCCACACCTATATTTTTTATTTTTTTTTAAATGTGAAAATATTGGTGAGACTGTTTTCTGTTTCTACCTTTCTGTCTCACTGGGGAATCATGTGACAACCTCTGTCTCACTCTTGCTGGTGGTGCGGTACCTACTCCATTTTTCTGTGGCCACTGTCTATTGTGCAAATATAAATTAGGACAGAACCTTGTGTGTCAAACACCAGCCTAAGTGGCATAAAAAGTTTTGAATCCACCAGACTAACAAGAAGAGAGGAAGACAGGGTCAAATTTAGCAATAATACTTTTCTAGCTGCAATTAGTTATCCTAGATGTACTAGAACTACAAACACCAGCATGCTGCACTGACAGGTCTTTTGCTTTATAAAATTACATACATATATATAAATTATGATGGTTCTATTTATATGTTGTTACAGATACAGCATGTTACATTTGTTTTACATAAAATGTTTTTCTGTTTTATAATAAATGGGGACACTTTCCAAAAGTTTAAAGGATAAGTTACACCTTTTGGACAAAAATAATAAATGCACATTTTTTTTGCCTTATAACTACCTCACTAAGTATATGTGAACTTTTTGGCAATGTGTTTTAGAATGTTTGTATTTAACAAAAGCACACAAGAAACTGTCACTTTTCCAATTCTTTATTTTATGAAACATATTTGTACTCCTCTTCCAGAGGATACTGTAATGGACTCCTTTGGCGGCACCATAGGGGAGGACATTAACTCTTGTAAGTATGAGTTAATATAAATGTTTCCTCCCTGAAAAACTATTTGAATATTTTATATTGATTTATATTTTTCTTGCTTAGCCACCTCGAGTACATGTGAATCCCATCATAAGAGAAAAACACTTGTGGCTCCAGATATTAACATCTCCCTGGATCAGAGTGAAGGCTCTCTGCATTCTGATGACTTCCTGGATGCACCTGATGACTTGGACATCAATATAGATGATATAGAGACCCCAGATGAAAGTGATTCATTGGAGTATTTGGCCAATGGAAATGACTTGGAATGGGAAGGTAAATCTGATACTGTACACAATGATATGTTGCTTGTCATGTTAAAGAGTAGTACTTTTGGTTCAAATAACATTAGTAACTCAGGTAAATAACTTTAATAGTAAATTGAGTTGGAAGCTATAGAATACTTTCAAGGCAGAAATACCCTATCATCAGGCTGGTTACAAATAGTGTAAAGTGAAGTACACGTTTAAAGTGGATCTAAACCATAACTGAATGATTTAGGGGACTTATTTATAGCAGAGAGATGAGTTTATCCCACATTGTGTCTGCAGTTAATTAGTAATTCAAAAACAGCAGACCACAGTGTGGTGCCTGTGGTGTCCCACAGACTGTTCTTTGCATAATTCACTCTGCAATTGGTGAAGATAACCAAAGTCATGTGATTGGTCTCATCTTCCTGCTTATATTGTTCATTGTAATATATTGGACTTGGTTCAACATCCTGAAGCAAGCAAAGTGCTAAACACTACTGTAGTCCAGAGTGCTGTGTTTACTAAGTGTGTGTGTGTGTTCACAAACCATCCTGGCCTGATGAAGTGACAAATCATGTCTTCACCTTTGTGGCTGAAGCTTGTATGGGTTAAGCCAACACTCGGCTTGAACCTGAGACCTGATTTCTTGCTCATTGTGGCTTCTGTCTGCCAGGTTTTCACATTACAATAAAGCATGGCAACATTTTGCTTGGAATATTGCATATACTCTGGGGCACTAGGGAAGATAAACAGATTTCCACAGCCTATACCCTACAGACAGATGCTACAGACTAAGATGGTACTGTTGGCAGGGGACACATTAACCTCCCTAGCGGTCTGATTAAGTCCATATTTCTGTGCTCAAAGCGGTACATTTTTTTGCATGGAATATATGTTGTTTTTGTATTATAGGCCTCTAATTTTTAGGAATAACTGACTGAAATCTGTCCGAACAAGATTCTACTAAACATCCCGGGTATGATAAAATTTGAAACACGAAATCATAAATTATAATTTAAAAAATAATAATATAATAATAATAAATTTAATTCAATAATATAATCAAACCAAAAACACTGAAATTTGAAATATAGCGCCAAGTTCGCACATCACTGAGCAAAGTCGCAAAATCGTTTTCAGTGTCTGATGACGAATTTCCCCACGAATCATTATCACTCAATTCTGCAAGTGGTTCTGATTTACTATCGCTGTTCTCTAGCTGATCTAAAACTGCTTTTGACCTAAAGGGATGTTTTTGGATGCCATGGACTTTTCTCAGTTTCCAGGCAGAAAGAACAGTAAAAATGCAGGCAGGGCACAGGACAAAGCACTAGGGACAAAATGTATGTGAAATGGTGTGATACAGTAACGTTTTACTATGTGATTTTAGTGAATGTCACTTTTCGTCATTTTCAAATTTCCCGCTGTTCCGTCCCCCGTACGTACCGACGCTCGCAGGGGACAGAACCCAGATGATAGATGCCAGCATCCGCCGGATTACATTGCCGGGGACACTGCAGGAGGGACATCGCGGGAGCGCAGGACAAGGTAAGTGATCAAGGGATCACGGAGCAGCGCCGCATGGTATTCCCGAGTGTAGCATGGGGTTACCGCTTGTGGTACTGAAACTTTACCCCGAGCTACACTCGGGAATACCGCCAGGGAGGCTAAAAAAGGTCCATACTACAGAGCTATGTAGGTCAGAGACAGCAGCATGAGGCAGTGCCACCAGATATATTAGGGTGGCTGCTCCCTGCTGTTCTCCATAGTTGTTCTTTAAATTCTCCTAACCTTTTACTGGCTCCTACTTCTCGCTATGCTCCAATATATATATATTGTATCAAAAAGTTTCGAGACTAGTTTTGTAACATAGCAACAGATGGCAGCACACGGCTGCACGCACAGTCACAGGGAGCACCAACTCTCATAAGTCGGTGTGCCAAAAGACATTGTCCTGTGTACATCGGGAGCTGTGCAACTGGTGCTATTCTGACCACGTGCGTTACCATGTCTGCTATTTCATCATGGACATCAAGTAGGACAAAGAGCAAACGTGAAATTCTGCGTGAAACTAGACAAATCTGCCACAGAGATGTTTGACATGATTCGACAAGTTTACGTGATGCTGCTTTAAGTCATTCAAGATGTTTTGAGTGACACGCACGGTTCAAGAGTGGAAGAACATCATTAGAAGACAACAAGAGATCAGGAAGAACTTCAATTCCAGAAAATGTCAAAACCATTCGGCAACTTGATGATCGTCGGAGAACAATTCACAACATTGCTGCCATTGTCGGTGTGTCATTCGGAACAGTCCAGACAATCCTCATGTGTGATTTGAATATGCGCCGTGTTGCTGCCAAGTTTGTCCCCAGGCTGCTGACCCAGGAGCAGAAGGAACACTGTGCCAAAGTCTGCCAAGAATTCCGTTATTATGCCATGGATCACCCTTCCTGCATGTTGAGGATCATTACCGGTGACGAACTTGGGTGTACGGGTTTCACACAGAATTTCACGTTTATTCTTGGTTCTAACTTGCTGTCCATGAAGAAATAACAGACGTGGTAATGCATTTGGTCAGAATTGCACCAATTGCACAGCTCCTGATGTACACAGGACAATGTCTTTTGGCACACTGACTTATGAAGGTCGGTGCTTCCTTTCACTGTGCAAGCACCCTTGTGCTGCTGTGTTACATAACTAGTTGATATCACCTCGTGTGTGTGTGTGTGTGTGTGTGTGTGTGTGTGTGTGTGTATATATATATATATATATATATATATATATATATATACATACACACACACACAATTATACAGTAAAACACACACATACAAAATGGACTACAAGGAGGGGACTAGCAGCTAAACACCAATTACAGTTGCTGCTGACAAAGCTAAAGGGTAGTCTTAAAATAGAATTTAAGGCAAACATTTTTTTGTAGTTTTTGATAGAGTGGAGAGGGATTAGAACCCTTGTCAGTCTCTATTGCTGTCTGAGCCCCTACAGAGGGGAGAGTCACCCTCTCTATTTGTCTTTTTTCCCATTATAATTAAAAGTGAAAGAAAAATCCCACATTTTGGGTTGTCCCCAGAAAAGAATTAGAGGGAAAATCTTCCAATGGGGACACTAGTTCTGGTGACTTGGGGGTCCCCAAGAAATTCTCTTAATTTCTAGGGATTTCCTCACACTTCATGTTTTGGCTATGGGACAGGAATTGAAGGTATATCTCCCCAATGGGACAAAGATGGCAAAAATAAACCCTACAGGGGTTATAACCCTCCCTTACTCTATCCAATAGTTATGCTTTAAGAAGGATGATTGACATACCTTCCAACTGTCTTAAACAATAAAGGAGGCCACCTTTTAGCACACAGTGTGTAGGCAGGGGACACATCCATGCCATATCCAGGAACCACAAAGATCTAATATGCAGAAAATGATTGGGCTTCTTATGACTTGCTTCGTTTATTTTTTATTGGCTTTTCAAAATAACAAATGCAGCAATATAGATGATGGATAAAGTTTAGTGCAGCATAACACTTTTGGTAGTAAAATAGTATAGATAGATGTAGAGATGTACACATTGGACCAAAATGATGGATTTCGTCTCAAAAGAGGGCCAGTCCCTCCAAATGAGGGCCAGTTAGGAGCTATGACAGTTTGGTCCATAGTACTGTGGACATAGGGGGAACACAAATATGTACTACTACACTTCAATCCACAGTATAATAACAACATATAGCACACAGTATAGCACAGTATCTTTGCCTACACAGATTTTTCTGTGGTAACCAGCTCCAACACACACTGATGATATAGCTGCTGTGAGCCCACCATTTTATAGTGAGGGGGCTGGCACATACAAAATTATTGGCAATTATTAGTATGATGACCAGAGTTCAAAGGCCAAACTGTGCATTATGGATCTAAAAAAATCAGTCTGCTGAATTTCTGCATAAATTAGCCAGTACCTTTAACCTGCAGGCAGGGGCGGACTCTCCATTTGGAAACTCGGGCACTGCCCGAGGGCCCGGGGTCAGTAGGGGGCCCCATGAGATGCCCCTGGTACCTTTTTCATAGGCTTTTTTGAGTTTGGGCAAGAAACAGGGGCCCCATGATCCCCTATTGCCTGGGGGCCCATGAGTTGTCAGTCCGCCTCTGCCTGCAGGATTTGCTAGGAACCCACTGTAGCAGTGAATCCAAACGTCATTCTTACTGTCATATATGCCACAGCATGTTCATAGCTTTAGAGAGGTACTTTTTCTAACTAGTTTTACCTGACATGCTGCATGGTGAAACTGAAGGCTACTTTTGACAACATTGTGGCGAGGGAGAAATTGATTATTTTGCTGTTAAATCAGGTTTGAGGAAATTAGCCACTGATTCCCCTAGTTCTGATATGTCTTTAAACATTTTCTGAGAGATGTTTTGGGGTTGCCACTGCTAACCTTTTTCTGAAAATGTTAGTAATCTGGTTGCTATGCTGACCACCATTGAGTCATTGAACCTAAACCATAAACTAGTATGCGGATCAGGAAAGTCAGAGGGAAGTCAAAAGTCCTCATCAGAATACTTGTTCTGGCAAAGCAGCCAGGCTACTACTAGCATTTTCAGAAAGAGAGGACAGCAATGGCAGCCTCTCTCATTACAGGTTTTTTTAAAATCATTTCTGCTGGATAATGTACCTGGAGGGGGGGGCAGACAGTGTTGGAGCATAAACACTGATATTTTTAGTTTCGTGAAGCAGACCTTTGTTTTTTTGTTATCATTTTAATATGCCATATTTATTTAAAGGAGTGACTAGAAAATATTGGCAAAGACTCATTAAAATTAAAGTGGTTGTTAATGTGAATGCTTACCTGAGCCCCCTCTTGATCCAGTGATGTGCAGGGGAGCCTCAGCTGTCCCAGGTCTCACTTTCCTCATTGGCTTCCACAGCAGTCAATCACAGCCAGAAAGCCAATGATGAGACAGCGGGGAGCGGGGCCAAGCTGCAGTTATATGTGTCTTATGGATGCATAGAGCGAGGCTCAGGAGCAAGTGCACCCATAGCAAGTGGCTTGCTATTGGGGTCACTGGTCAAGGAGGAGGAGCCAGGAGCACTGACGGGGTACCCTAGAAGAAGAGGAATATCGGGGCTGCTCGCTGCAAAATCATTGCACAGAGCAGGTAAGTATAACATGTTTGTAATTTTTTATTTTTTTGTTTAACTAACCTTTTGAATCACTTTAATCCTCAATAGTCCATCTCTTTTCATCAAGTTCATTATCATGTTGATTTTTTTTTAGGCCGTATAGGATTACCACTATTTTCTATTACTACTGCTAATATTAATATAATTTTTTTTATTATTATTGTATTTATGATGTTCATTCAAAATTACTACATTTATCATTTTTTTTTTACAGATGACACGCCTGTTGCAAGTGCCAAGAAAATACCCGGGTATGGCGCTGACCTGTTTGATGAAGAAGTTGAAGGGGGGGAGGCTACAAATGGACGCTTGTGGAGAACAGTTATTATTGGAGAGCAGGAGCATCGTATTGACCTACAAATGATAAAACCATATATGAAAGTGGTCACACATGGAGGTGAGGCTATAACTGATAGCATTCTACCATTTGTATTTATTTTTAATGTTTTGTGGCTGAGTGTTTTTTCTCTTGTGTACAGGATACTATGGTGAGGGGCTAAATGCCATCATTGTATTTGCCGCTTGTTTTCTCCCAGACAGTGGCTGCCCTGATTACCATTATATCATGGAGAATCTATTTCTGTAAGTAGAGATTACATTTTATAGTAACCAATCCAAGATTTTTTTTATAATAGATCTTTTGAATATCTATTATACATATTTTTTACTTATGATTTTATATATACAGGTATATGTCTATGCTTTTATATACAGTATATTGTAGATGTGGTGGTTGCATTAGTTTTCTTTTTCTAGGGGTTTTCTTTCACCTGTTGATCCAGCCAGTAAGTCTGTTACTTTTCAACTTCCTTTAACAGACCAAGCTGTACAGTAAAAGTGGTGGTTAGAGGATTGAAACAAATTAACACTTACAAGGGTGCTTACAATGGTCAGCGTCCAATAATTTATGTAAAATGTTTACTCTTGATTCTAATTCCTATATCATTAATAAACAAATTGGCCAGCATTGGCCCCAAGATAGAACCCTAGAGCCCACTACTTGCAACTTTAGACCAGTTAATTATCACTGCTGGTGGTTAGAGGGTTGAAACAAATTAACACTTACAGGGGTGCTTACAATGGTCAGCTTCCAATAATTTATGTAAAATGTTTACTCCTGATTCTAATTCCTATATCATTAATAAACAAATTGGCCAGCATTGGCCCCAAGATAGAACCCTAGAGCACACTACTTACAACTTTAGACCAGTTAATTATCACTGCTGGCTGGACCTGTTCATGTAACCAGTTTCCATATACATACAAATGTATCAACTCCAAGAGGACTTATTTTTATATAATAAATGTTTGTAAGGTACAGTATGTAATGCTAAGATAAACTACATTCACCTTCCATTTTCTCACATATTTATTCATTGAATGATAACAGGTTAGTCTATCACAACACTGTCATAAAAACAGTCTTTCATACCTTTTATCCCAGACAAATTTCTATAGAGTCCCTTACCAAGACCTTATAAACGATTGACATTAGACTGACTGATATACATCGCAATCCTTTTTTGTAAACTGGCACCACATTTACTCAATGTCAATGAGTACTGACCATGCCAGTCAGTAAGGTATCTTTATAAATTAGAAATACTGTAGTAGCTTGGCTACACTTAATTCCCTAAGAACTCATTGGTGTAAGTAATCTGGAACTGGTGATTTGTTCACATTAAAACAGAACTACACTGCACCTGAGCACCACTAATCATTCATTTTTAATATTCAAAGCAAATCACCCATCTATCTATATCTCCATGCTTTCTAGAGAGATCCAAATTTTAAAGTCAGGATCCACCCAGATGCCTGGACTGGCAACTGGCTAAGTCCCTTAGCACACTACTGAGAACCTGAGCCAGTCACTCCTGGCCCCTCCACAGCCCGGCACTCCAGTGAGCGTTGGAGGGGCAGAGCAGAGAGCCAGTGACTAACAGTCACCAGCTCTCTGAAGATCATGAACTAAATGACCAGCGGTCTTTGATTGCTCGGTTCTCAATCATAGAGATGGCAGGGGATAGATGCAGCATTGGACCAATGCTGCATCTACCTAGGTGATTGTTAATGTTTGTTATTTTACAGTCACTAATTTCTCTTTTAACCACAAGCCTACAGGGCACTTATACCCCCTTCCTGCCCAGGCCAATTTCCAGCTTTCAGTGCTGTTGCACTTTGAATGACAATTGCGCTGTCATGCAAAACTGTACCCATATGAAATTTTTATAATTTTTTTGTGACAGATAGAGCTTTATTTTTGGTGGTATTTAATCAACTCTGGGTTTTTAATTTTTTTCTTAAACAAACCAAAAACCACTGAAAATTTTGAAAAAAAAAGTTTTTTATTAGTTTTTGTTATAAAATGTTGTAAATAAGTGATTTTTCTCCTTCACTGATGTGCACTAATGAGGCTGCAGTTATGGGCACTGATAGGCTGCACTGATGAGGAGGCACTGGTAGGTGGCACTGATGAGCATTGACAGGCATCACTGATCGGCACTGAAGGCAGCACTGATATATGGCACTGATAGGTGGCACTGACTGGCACTGTTAGGCGGCACTGACTGGCACTGATAGGCGGCACTGATGCGCACTGATAGGCGGTGCTGACTTGCACTGATAGGCGGCACTGACTGGCACTGATTGGCATTGATAGGTGGCACTGACTGGCACTGATGGGTGACACTGAAAGGCAGCTCAGATGTGCACTGACATGTGGCATTGATGTGCACTGGTAGGCACTGATATGTGGCACTGATGGGCACTGGCACGTCGCACTGATGAGCACTTACAGCTGGCACTGATGGACACTGACAGGTGGCACTGCTGGGGCTACACTGATCATCAGGGCACACTGATCATCAGTGCTCTGATGATAAGTGTACATATCCCCTCCGCGGAATGCTGATTACCGGCTCTCCTCTCCTCTCGAGCTGTCAGCGTGACAGCTCGAGAGGAGAGAAATGCTGATAACCAGCATTTACCTGTTTACATGTGATCAGCTGTGATTGGACACAGCTGATCACATGACCGAGTTGGCTCTTTCCATGGATCAGTGATCCGCTGTGTCCCAGGGACACAGCGCACCACCGATCGCTGCTCTGCACGCTCCGGGAGCCACGCATGCGCGGTTAGAATGGGAGGACGTCATATGATGTCCTCCCAGAACGAGAGAACCACCTTGCGTCCGTCATATTACTATATGGCAGGGGGGAGTGGTTAATCATATTTTCAGGACTATTATTTTCCCATCTAAACTGGTTAAACCAACAAGGTGGGTCTGGCTTCAGTCATCAAATCGACCTAAGAACCTTAATCCTCTTTTTAACCCCATTCTATCACTTTGAGGCTTAAAAAGATTTTCAGGAAGACTCCCCATCATCTCCCCATCTACCCTGGCTAGACCTGTTGGTCTGACTTTATTTATCAAATCGACCCAAGAACTATAATCCTTTTCCTACCCTCACCCTGTCACTCTGAAGCTTAATCTGATTTTCAAGTTTTGCAGCATTTACGAACATTTCTGCAAATACGATATTGCAATGAATCACTGAATGCATGAGTCGTATTTTTTATTCTCTTTTATTTTCAAGTCCTCCTTCTCTTATGTGTTGTCATTCATTTTATTGTCCCTATCTTCACCCTCTCTGGCATATAACAATAAGTTTGAGACTTTAGTTTGCCACTACCATGGTTTCACACTGAATTCCTGGTATTCGCAAAGTTTGTGAATTGCAAACTATTAGTAAAAACTCTGAAAATGGAAATAACGTTTAATACATTGCATTGCTTTGACCCTGGTCAGCTGAGTCACAAGAGCCAATAATTTAAAGCAGTAGATAACCCAACCCCTTTTCATAAAAGGGTGAGCTCACAACAGCCATATTGTCAGTGTGTGCTGGATCTTTTAGAGAGAGCTCATTTTCCCATGCCTTTTACTTGACGATAACTTGCTTATTAGCCCTAAAGACTAAAATTGAATGACATAATTCAGCCTCCCTCAATAGGGCTTGCCAGAAACTGTTTTGGGAACCAAACCCAGGCATATGCATTTATTGAACAGTGGGAAGAAATATGCTCATGCATCAGTAGTTAGAGGGTGGAAAAAATGCCTTGCTTCTTTGGTAAGTAGGAGGAAAAATTGCCTGGTGCAACTGGACAGTGGGAAGTAAAAATACACAGTGTTACTAGTCATCAGTAAGAAAAATGCTGGCCATCATGGCTCCATGGGAGGAAAAATTATCAGTGGGACTTAATGAATAGGAGGAATGGCTTGAGATTGTGGTTAGTGGGGGAAAGAAAGCTAAATAAAGCATCGGTATCAGAAACTAAAGTCAGTAGGGAGGAGGGGAGGAAAGGATTGGTGTCAATGGTGGGGGGAGAAGGGGATTGGATTGGTGGTCAGCATGGCTTAGGGCAGACATTTATCTAATAATGGGGGAGAGTTACATTGGTGTCAGTTGAGGGAATCATTGGTGTTAGGGGGGCAACACTAGTACTGAGAGGGGCGAAACACTGATGCGCAGTGTAAGGCCTCGGCCAATTGGCTAGTGTGTGCTTCTCAGCACTTGTAGTGCGCCTAAGAGGGACAGAGACTGAGATGCCTGTCAAAGTGTGTGACAGGCTGCAGACAAACAGGACTGAACACTGTACTGAATGGTACCAGTGTTTAGGGCCCTGTCTGTGTAGGGGCGAGGTTCCAGAAGGCAGAAGACAAGGTACCATGTTCAGTCCCATCCAGTTGCAGCCTGCTATAGACACTGACAGGCTGTCTGAAGCAGGAATCCGTTTACATCGGGTGTGTAGTGATGTCATAAGTGGCATTGTGAAACTTCCTGTAGGTAGAGAGGTTGGAACAGAACCTTTACAACTCTGTCCAGTGTGTCAATGCAGCTGTAGATCACTGCTATTGTGACCTATTCCTGGCTTATTCCATCCAACAATACATTATTATTAGAAAGTATATAGAGGGTGTTAGTGGTCTGGATGTGATCTCCACTGATCAGATCGAGACTCTCTATGATAAATTAAATAACAAATAAAAGATAGATGATTATCATAAAAATAAATACAGCTATTTTCTCCCAAAATGAATCCCCAGGTCACAACAGTGATGTTGGATGAAGTGTATGACATTTGTGGTCACTGTGAAAGCATCAAATGCGCACACAAATGAATGTCAGTATTATTTGAATTTTTAGCAATTGCAAATCTGTGAAAATTGGTCCTAATTTGTGCCCTCATCAACCCAACTCAATCGTATCTTAATGTTAATCTAACAATTTATGCAAAACTGTTTTTTTTTTTACTTCTACATGTGTTAAAATCTATCTTCAAAAGGGGAATAAAGCTGTCCAAAAGTAAAACACATACATTCACTTTGGGCTTTACCATTTTGATACCTTACATAAATGTTTCACTAATTTGATATACCATAATTTTAATCAGCAGACTTTGTGTTACTATCTGGAGTCAGACTCAGAACCAATAGCTATAGCAGTAGCAATGCACCCACCAACCAGCTGGATAAGTACAGAAGCAGGTCACTCTGGCAGATGACACAGGCTTACTGCGTGAAGTACTAACCAGTATTCACCAGAGCTCCTGATGGTGGAAATGGGTTTTGCTGCATTTTAGTACTAGGCAGTGGTCCCCAGGAGGTGAGCAAGCTGAGGTCCAGTAGAAGATATAGCAGGTAGGGATAAGCAGAAGTGTAGTCCGTAAACAGGCCAAAGGTTGCTAATGAATGGTTGCAGGTTGGGATTCAAGCAAAAGCATAGTCAAGGAACAAACCAAGAATCGATGACGAGTGGTAGCAGAGATACGGATAGCAGCAGGAATGACAAGAACAAGATGTTGGCTGGAGGGAGCACAATAAACTGGGAAACAGGAAGTGCAAAGGCATGGCTTAAATAGGAAGTTCATGGAAGGAGCAAAGGGTTAAAGACAAACAAGGTTCCAGGCAGGATCATTCAAGAAATTGTCCAGGGAGCTGTCTAGCATTCTAGGTGGCTCAACAAGAAGAGACATTGCCAGACACACAAAGTTTGCAGCTTCACATCTGGGCCCTGATGCTTTGTTCATTACATATTGGGGTAAATATATGGGATGCTCAACTTTTTACTATGTATTCCCAATTAAAAGCAAGGAAATAAAAATATGTACCCAAATTGCTATCAAATAGTCCAAATAGTTTTGCACCCCAAAACTTTAAATGGTGGATTAACAAAGACCTATACTGAATAGGTGACTGTCTTGACAGAAAGTAAAAACTTAGCATTGCAGTACCTTCTCCAGATACTCAAAAACCCTCATTTTGAAATCAGGATGCATCAAAAACACGTTCTAAATACTGTAAAAAAAAAAACAAAGATATTACCAATGCAACAAGGAGGTGGCATCACTGTTCTTTACTCGTTGCTCTCTAGCATTTTATAGAAACTACCTAACAGATTGGCTTGGGAGTAGATTTAGAACCAAAGATCACCAAGGAGGATTGGAATACATGAACTACTTGAATACACAGGGGAATACTTAACATGACCCTTATGGCCAATTACAAATTCCTCTCTCCTTGGTTTCAAGTAAAATTTTTTTCCTCTTCCTGCTAAAATCTTTCCTAACGCCTCTTTGATCAATTTTTGGGGTGGGGACATTGCTCCATGTTTGGTGGACTTGCCCCAAATTTCAAAGTTTTTGGAATATAAGAATAGTTACATTTGTTCTAAACAAACCTATTGCTGATATTTCAGGATACTCTTGAAACCCATTGATAAACTACATGAGTTCCCCTGCACAAGTCCTGTACTGTTCCAAAGAAGAGATCTCTCTATGTACTTTCTCTTTTTCTCTTCTTTTTAATCTGTTTCAGGGGTGGGAACATTGTTCCATATTTGGTGGATTTGCCCCAAATTTAAAAGTTACTGGACAAGGAGCTGGGATATGAGAGAGGCCTGAGGCATTAGGGCATCAGGGATGCAGGTGAGCCTGCAAGTGCAGTGAGGTCACAGCAAAGTTTGCAAAAATTAGGCACGAGAGTCAGCATAAGACTTCAGTAACTCAGGGAACAAAATGGACTCAAGCTTGAGCTGCCTATGCAGATAAGGGGCACCTCTAGATAAAAAAACAAATTGTGCAGCTTTGACCAAAGTTAAATAATGCCCTTGCTATAGGTGTAAACCATTCACGTTCCTCCTAAAGCCTGAATGAAAAATACACAGAGATGTTCTCATCCAATTCTGCCTTGTTGCTAAGACACTCTCAACTGATTCAAACCCCTTTGCATGTGCTCTTTCTGTGACAGGAAAGACCACACATGTAGGGGTTTGAGAGCTCGCTCCTGTGATGGAGGGCGGAGAGCAGTAACAGCTGGGACAGTCTTAGCAACAAGGCAGGACGTGCTGGTGTCATCTCTGGGAGCTTTTTGGCCGGCTCAGAATGTATGTAAATGTCCTTCACTCATAATAAGTGTCCAACATTAGTTAAACTTGCACAGCTTATTTTTATGTACAGGCAGCCTTCACCTGCATAGACCGTTTTTGGTAACAATGACCTAACCCTTTAAATGTACTATTCATTCATGTGATATGACATACTAGGTAAAACCCAGATGTGCTTGTGACTGCAGGAAATGGAAAAGACACTTGAACGTGGAAGGTAAGTGACTATGATATTGAGCATATGTTTTGTCCTAGGGTGCCAAAATGTAATATCTATCCATTCACAGAACAAACATTCAGTGGTAATAAAGTCAAAGGTTCTTTCTTCAGACTTCATCTAATTACATTCATTTGTTTTTGACAGTTATGTCATTAGTAGCCTGGAGTTGCTGGTGGCAGAGGATTACATGATTATTTACCTAAATGGTGCCACACCTCGAAGAAGAATGCCAGGGTTAGGATGGCTGAAGAAATGCTACCAGATGATTGATAGGAGGTGAGTTTAGTTTGTGATTGAATGAAATGCATACATACATTGGAGCCATGCTTACAGGGAATAGAGGTGATATGTATATAAAACGCCACTAAAAAATGCCAACCGTCCCAACCTATAACCAGCCTTAGCAGTAAGGTGCACATGGAAGAGCGATGCACATCACAAACAAACAAAGGATTTCCCAGCAACACTTACCAGCCAGCCTGCAGGCTACAGTCTGGCTGGTAATTGTTGCTGGGAAATGCTTTGTTTGTTTGTGATATCTATATAAAGTTTGTCTATACTAGTGGCAGTAAAAAAAAAAAATGTTATCTGTTGCCGTCCATGTAACACATATTTGCTGTTTTAATGCCCACATGCTATAAAACATGTGTCACTGAGTGGCCATTGCTAGTCAGCATAGGTAGCAGGAGGGGGAAGTGAACATTTTAAAGTTAGTGTTAGACTGAAATTGTACTTTCATTAAAAACGCTTTAAGACCAAATTTAAATGTGTTGCAGCAGCTAATTTTGGCCATACAAGAGCTGACTTTTCATTGATAATATGTATATTTAAATCTGCATTGCGTGTTTATGTCCCTCCCAGATATTTGTGTAAATGCTTTCCATCAACAGCAGAGAAGCCTGGGGCAGGGCTTATAGAGGGTTAAAGTATACTATATTGCAGCTCAATTTTTAGATGTGATAGCTGCATTAGTTTTGTTTTTAGTTTTTTTCCCTTAAGCCTCGTATATACAATGAGAATATCGGACGAATAATTGTCTTGCATGTTTTTGCATGCTAGTTTCATATCGAAAAGGAATAGAGTACTAAAGTTATGAAAATTCTCAGAAGACAGAATACAGCGTCACGCAATGATGTATTGTATTGTACTGTAACCCATTCTTTAGTTTATGAGCATGCGCGGTCTTGGTCATTTGATTTTTTACAGACGAATACTGTACTGATTAAATTAAAATAGTTCATTCTGTTATCGTACAAGAAACATTTTCATGCTTATCCCTTTGGATAACTGAACTTGAGTCGTGATTTGCTCTAGAAAGCTATGTACTAATGATCAGATTATCGGACGATTGCTCCGAAAGTGGTATTTTTCATCCAATTTTCTTGTCATGTGTACTAGGCATAATTTTCACTTGGCGATCCAGCCAGTAAGTCTCTTATTTTTCAACATTTAACAGTCCAAGCTTTCTAGGCAAAGTAGCAGTTAGAGGATTGAGACAAGCCATTTAACACTGACAGGGGTGCTTGCAATGGTCAGCTTTTTTTCAGTTATGTTAAAACATTTATATATATATATATATATATATATATATATATATATATATATATATAAAAAATCTGGTTGCTGAACTGTTTATAAAGTTTTAGCTGGAATTCAACTTCAATTTGTTAGTCAAGTCCATCAAAATATGTTAAATAAAGGGAAAAAAACTAAAACTAATGCAGTAACCATTTTTAAGGATTGGTTTTGGTTTTAATACTGCTAAGTCCTTCTCCCTTTATTTTGATAAAACTGAGACAACAGAAGGATTTAAGGTAGCCAACACGCTTCCTCTGTTGGCCAGACAATCCCCCTTCTTTAGGGGAATTCTTTAACAAGACACATCAGGAATCATGGTAAATATGGAAAAATGTAATTAAGAACACGATTCCAAAAAGAAGACCTTATAACAGAAAGCATTTATGACTATGCAAAAAATAATAAATCAAATAAATAATTTATATATGTATAAAAATTTAATGAATAGATATAATATGTATCACAGAACGACTTTACCACATTTAAAGTATACATCATGAGTGCTGAGCAATTATCAGGATGTCCACCAGAGGGCACACGCCAGCCAAATCATAAAGACACTGCCTATAATGGTTAGTATGTAAGGCTGGACTAATTATTCAACAAAATACAAATGCTTCTTAAAAAATATATGACTATAAAAACACATTAAAAAAATAAATAAAAAAAAGTTAAAACATCTTTCTAGTCTCCAGATGTTTTTACATTTTAGGGTTTTTTAAGTGATACGTCTATTCTTTTAATTATATACACATTTTTTAATTTCTCTTTTTTCTGGTACTTTATTGGTTTATATGCGCTGCAATGTTTAAAGTTTCTTAGTTTAAACATTTTTTTGTTTCTTAGTTTGGGATACAGTGGAGAGGGATTAGAACACCTGACAGGTTTTTTATTGCTGTATGCTCCCCTGTTAGGGAGTTTCATCCTCTTGATCTGACCTGTTTACAGTTATCAGTGAGAGTGAAAGAAGACCCCATTTTTGGAGTGTCACCTGAACAGGAATAGAGGGGAATTCTTTCAATGGGGACAGTTCTAGTGACCCTGGTGCCAACCACTTTGGAGGGATGATCTCTTGCTTCCTGTTTTGGTATGGGAGAGAAAGTGAAAAGAAATCTCTTTAACGGGACACGGATGGCAAAAAAAAAGCTGACCGTGGTTAAAACCCTCCCTAACTCCATCCAAAATGAAAACAATGTTTTGACTTTAGTTCTACTTTAGTTATTTCTTTGATGTTTCAATGTTTTTAGAATCTCTTGATTTGGTATTTCCATATTTACTATGATTCTTAGTGTGTTAGCACAGATGAAGTGGGATTGTTTGACCCCCAAAATGTCTTGACTACCTTTTATCTTCCTGTTTTCTCGATTTTATCATCAGCAAAAGATGCTGGACTCTTAAGATGACTGGCTGGCACTTTTTTGTCTATCTTTATTATCATATGGAAGCTAATGTTTCCATGTCGCTGGACCACATGGTTAGTGGCAAGGTCCAGAGCACCACAGACCCGTAGTAAAGCAAGCATGGGCAGGGACATTATATCTCCATTTAGGTACCACATGGGTAACTTTCCTGATGAACAGGAAGGATTGGGACGAATATATTGTGTGCAATAGGAAAACACTGCCATGATGTTTTGCAGCTTGTTGCCTGGGGACCAGGAGCCACATTGGGACAGAAACACTATCAATTCTGCAGGGGCAGGCTAAGAGGTGGGTAACTCTGTTCCTTCTTGTGCCAGGAAGGAAGCAGCACCCACCTGCTGTCTTTCCCTCAGCAGGCTAGTTCACAAAGGTGCCTTGCTTGGCATAAGTCCTCAACCTGGTGGTGCAGGAGTTCCTAGAACTACCCAGCTAAGCTAAGACAGGCAAGAAGTGTGTGTAGGTAGTTCAGGTGATCATAACCAGCCAGTTTTCCGCGGGCTGTAATTCAGGGACGACTCAACCTGCTTGCACACCACCTGAGATGTGATGTGTTCTTGAGCTGGAACTCCACCCTGGCCATGCTGCAGCAGCTCCATCAATACCATCAATGAGTATTTGTGTGAGTATGGCATGAAAAACAGGCCCAGGGGATCTGAGTTTTTTCATCGTGTCAGTACCTCCTCATACAAGGACGCATGTACCATTTTTCTGCGAATTGAAGAGGCAACCAGAAAGGTGAGGCATGACAAAGCAAGGATCAGCAACATTATTCCTGTAGTGTTCCTGTTGGACTACACACTACATGGAGCACCTGGAATGGGTCATCTGTTTTTCTGTTACTAATGGCACAGCACTAGTTCACTTATCTTTTGGTTTTTAAACAACTATTATTTGAATGGGGCTTACTGATAGATAGGACATTAGTTATATTTTCTGGTGTTTTTTTATTTAATTATTTTTTGCACTTTTACATGTGGTTAACTGTTTAGTGACCTTGATTCACATTTTTGGCAGAGCCGTCTATTTACACATTTACAGGATTCACAAATGTGGAAGTTAGACATATTTTAAAGACTGTAGCAGCCATAGTCACATTAACTTCTTGACGCCGACCGCATGCAAATTAGCGGCCTCACAGAACTGGGCTTTTTTCCGTGGGGCCGCTAATTTGTGTACCTGTCTTTCTGCTGGGAGCGAACTGCACGGTGCGCTCCCAGCACAAAGACTGGGGTGTCACTGAGAGACTCGGGTCCCGTTCTAACGATCAGGACCCAGAACTCCTGATTCTAGGTCACCTGATTGCTGTGATAGCTTCTGTCACTGTGAATTCTTTGAATGGAGGAGAAAGATACATTGTGTGTAAAAAATAAATAAATAAAAAATAATAATAATAAAAATATAAACAAAGATACCTAGATCAAGGTTTGATCTAGGTATGTGCCAGGGTTAGTGTTTGGATCAGGGTTTTTTTTTTTTTTTTACATTTTTAAATTAGTATCAGTGTCAGTTAGTGGCAGGATAAAAACAAAAAAAAGCAAATTGCGCGCTATTGTTTCTGGGCTGTACTACGGATACAAACATCAACATACATACACACATGTGGTATTGGTCTAGTGTTTGTTCAGGTTTTTTTTTTTTCTTAACATTTTAAAATTCAGCTGCGATCATCAGGAGCAGGAGAAATTATTTTGTGGTAGGTTATGGTAGTAGCAAGGAATATACAGCTGAATTTAAAAAAAGTTGTTTTTTTTTTTTTACTATTTTGGGTCAGTTTTCCTTTGGTAATAAAAAAAAATCAGGAGATATCTATTACCATTTATTACCAAATGAAAGCCAAATTTGTCCTGAAAAAACATGTTATCCACATGGATGCACAAAGTAGTTGTGATGATATGTACGGTTTTGATAACACAGGTCAAAGTTGCAAAATTGTGCTTCTCACAAAGTGGGCTTTCTTTTGGTGGTATTTGATCGCCTGTGCATTTTTGATTTTTTGCGCTATAAAAAAAAATAATTTTGAGAAAAAAAACAATATTTTTGACTTTTTGCTATTAAACGTGTCCAGTAAAAAAATAAAAAAAAAAATTAATTTCATCATAACTTTACGCCAAAATGTATTCTGCTACGTTTTTGCTAAAAAAAAAAATCCCAATATGTGTAAATTAATTGGTTTATGTGAAAGTTATAGCGTTTACAAATGGCGGTATAGATACTGGAATTTTTTATTTTGTTTTTTCTAGTAATGGTGGCGATCAGGGACTTATAGCGGGACTGCGGCAGGCATTCTGACACTGGGGGAAACTTACTTGGTGTCACTGACATCCCCATCCCCACTGACACCAATACAATGATCAGTGCAAAAAAAAAGCACTGACATTGTACTAATTACACTGGGCAGGAAGGGGTTAATGTGAGGGGTGATCAAAGGGTTAACTGTGTGCTGGGAGTGTTTTACTGGGGGGCGGTGTGTGCTTCACTGTAAGCACACTGCTCTGGATGGCTATGCTGTGCACAGCCATCCAGAGCAGTGTGCCTGAGCCGACAGAGAGAAGGACTGTTAGTAAACAAAGCAGTCCTCCCCGTCAGAGATGCTCGGTAATCACCGAGTGCTGGCAGGGAAATCACTGGCCGGGACCCAGTGATTGACAGCCGTAGCCGCGAAAGGCCCCCCCCTACTCAGAAATGCAAAATCATGCATATATATGTGATTTTGCACATCAGTATATCTGCTATAGGGCAGTCGGGATGTAGTTAATCTGTGTTTCCTTATTTTTGTTTTCTTTTGGTTTTGCCTATGGCGCAGAGTTTTTATTGTTATTTGTTCTTTCATGATGATTTTGCTCCTCCCTTTAACTAATTGCCGACCGCAGATAGCCGAATGACGGCTGCACTGCGGCCGGCCAGTTCTGGGGTGGACGTCATATGACACAGCTGATCACATGACGTGGTAAAAGGCCAATCACAGCGGCCTTTTACCACGTGATCAGCCGTGTCCAATGACACGCTGATCACCGGGAAATGCAAATGCCGGTTCTGGGCTGCACTTTCCTCACGCTGTCAGATCGTGAGGAAAGTACTGCCGAAAACCGGCAGTTGTCAGAGCGGGGATCGGCACCGATCATCAGGGTCACTGATCATCAGTGCCCTGATGATCGGTGCCCAGCAGTGCCCGCACACAAGTTCCGCCCACCTGTGCCCAGCAGTGCGCCCATCTGTGCCCAGCAGTGCGCCCACCTGTGCCACCCAGCAGTGTCACCACCTGTGCCCAGAAGTGCCACCTACATGTGCCCAGTAGTACCACCCACCTGTGCCCACCCACCTGTGCCCACCAGTGCCACCCATCAGTGCAGCCCAGCAGTGCTGCCAGTCAGTGCCCAGCGGTTGTGCCAGTCAGTGCCCAGCAGTGCCGCCAGTCAGTGCCCAGCAGTGATGTCAGTCAGTGCCACCTATCAGTGCTGTCTATCAGTACCCATTATCAGTGTCACCTATCAGTGCCACCAATCAGTGCTGCATATCAGTGCCACCTATCCGTGACACCTCATTAGTGCTGCATATCAGTGCCGCCTATCCGTGCCACCTCATTAGTGCTGCCTATCAGTGCCGCCTATCAGTGCCCTTCAGTGCTGCCTATCAGTGCCCATCAGTGTCGCCTATCAGTGCCCATCAGTGCTGCCTCATCAACGCACATCAGTGAAGGAGAAAAATTACCTGTTTGAAAATTTTTATAATAGAAACAAAGAAACTTTTTTTTTTTTTTTTCAAATTTTTTTGCACTTTTTTTGCTTATAGCACAAAAAGTAAAGTGCCCAGCAGCGATTAAATACCACCAAAAGAAAACTCTATTTGTGAGGAAAAAAATGTAAAATAAACTTTGTCCAGCTTTTACTGCAGACCTGGTCAGATATACTATCCCCAGCTTTAGCCAGTTCACACCAATTCAGTCCTACCTCTAGGTATCAAGAAACCCTTTTTTCATTACCCTTAGTGACCATAGCTGCTACCAAGTACTCCATAACACTTGACATAACAGGTAATATTGTGTATGTATTTTAGTACTAAATCTGTTCAATTTTAATTGTTGTTCTCTATGTTCTTAGGCTCCATGCACACTGGACGTTTTGATAACGCTGGTAACATTAGCTGTGTAAAGTCACGTTAAAAACGTGAGTTTTTCAGCTTTTTTTAGCGTTTTTTAAAAAAAACACAAACACTGAAAAACGCAGCTAAACGCGGCAAAATGACACTAAATGCCAATGCAAAAATGCTAATAAAAGCTGAAAAACTCACGTTTTTAACGTGACTTTACACTGCTAATGTTACCAGCGTTATCAAAACGTTGGGTGTGTGCATGAGGACTTAGAGCATTTTTACAGCTAAAAAACTCTAGAAATCCACTAGTTCTGTTTTTTTTTTCCAGCCAAAAAACGTCCCTGCCAAAAAAACGTTGATTACAGTCTATGTGTGTATGGACACATAGGATAACATGCTGGGGGGTTTACTAGCTGTAGAAAAAAACATCAAAAGCCAAAAACAGCCGCTGTAAAAACGTCAAGTGTGCATGAGGACTTAATATTATTTGTGCATATAGCATCAAGTAGCAAGTAGAACAAAAAGCATCTGTTCATATTTTCATTTTGTGGATAACAAACAGACTAAATTTTTTTTTTTTTTTTTTTTTTTACAGACTGAGAAAAAATTTGAAATCTTTAATTATCGTCCACCCATCCTGGTTTATAAGGACAGTGTTGGCAATCTCCAGACCATTTATAAGGTTAGCAGCTAACAATACCTTGCAGTGGTGCTTTGTTGCTACCCATATAGATCTCCCTGTGCTTCATAATCTCATTTCCAGAACTGTTACACTAAGTAATAAAACTAATATTTTGAATTTTCTAGGATGTGTGTTTACTATAAAACAAAATAGTCATAAACATTTTCTTTGTCATTTGTTTTATAGTAAAATATGTATTTATTTGGATTTGTTTTACTCAAGTTCAAATATTGTGTATTAAATGTGGTTTCTTATATATAATGTATGTGGTATAGCTACACATGTGATTTAAGTATCTTGTTACAGAAAGATTTAAACTATGTATTAGGTTGTGCTGTTGTGCAACTCAACAAGAAAATAAATCCATAGAATAAATAAACGGAAAACCTCCATATACAGAATGCTATACTTACAGTTGATCCAGGGAAAGGAAAAAAACCCTATAATTTGCTCAAGCAGAGTTAAAATTTCTTCTGGATCCGCCGCAAGGCAATGGGATATCCCCTCGATAAACAATCTCTTTTTTTTTACCTATGAATGTTAATATCCAGTTAAATTTTGTGTATTTAGGAATGCATCCAGCTCTTTTTTATAAGGAGAACTAGCTCTTAAAGTCTTTTTCTACATTTTCACAGCTCTTACTACAAAGAGGCCTTTCTGTATGTGGAGGTTACATTTCTTTTCAGTGCACAATTTCCACAGGCTCTTTGATACACATATATTAACCTATCTTCCTGGGTCAAAATGTATGGTCCTGCTCTCTTTTGCTTCCTAAACTACATTTTTAGACAATGAGACAGTCTATCACAGTAGTGAGCCAATTGTGAGCTTACAGGTATAAAATACACAAGGATATACTGTACAGTGCACTTATATGCTATTTTTTTTTTAATTTAAATGCAACCCTTATCTCCTTTGTTCTGGTCACAATGCATAGCAGAGGGAGCATTCCCCCTCACTCTGAACTGCCTGGTTTGACTGGTGAGTGTGTTTAATGAAAGGGAGAGATCTGTACCAAAGAATAGGGGGGGTCTATAGAGGGGGAAGGAGAACTGTACTGAGGGGGGGATCAGAGATTCTGCTCTCTCCTGGCTCTCATCCTACCTGTCACAACGCTCTTTCAGTGTTACCTATAATGCTACCACCTCCCCTCACTCCCCCTCTCTGTTGGGGTCCCTCAAGGCTCCGTCCTCGGGCCCCTTCTCTTCTCCATCTACACCTCCTCCCTTGGCCAACTCATACACTCTCACGGCTTCAACTACCACCTATATGCCGACGACACACAAATCTATCTCTCAACCACCCACCTCACCCCCTCGGTCTCCGCCCGAATCACACACCTTCTGAGGGACATATCAGACTCGATGTCGCTCCACTTCCTTAAACTGAACCTCTCCAAAACCGAGTTTCTTGTCTTCCCCCCAGCCCGGACACCACCCCGATTGACTTCTGCATCACATCCAACAAGGCCACCATCAAACCCGCCCCGCAGGCCAGAGTACTTGGTGTCATTCTGGACTCCAACCTATCCTTCCAGCCCCAAGTCCAATCTTTAACAAACTCGTGCAGACTCCACCTCCGCAACATCGCCAAAATACGCACGTTCCTAACCCCAGAAACCATTAACAGCTCATCTACTCCCTCATCATATATATGACTCGACTACAGCAACTCCCTCCTCACTGGCCTGCCTCGCCGCTGGCTATCCCCGCTTCAGTCGATCCTGAATACGGCTGCCAGACTCATTCACCTTTCGAACCGCTCCATCTCCGCCACCCCCCTCTGCCAATCCCTCCACTGGCTTCCGATTGCCCAAAGGATCAAGTTCAAAATCCTAACACTGACGTACAAAGCTGTCCACCATACTGCCCCGAACTAAATCACTGACCTAATATCCAAGTACCGCCCAGCACGCACACTCCGCTCCTTACAAGACCTCCTTCTCTCTAGTTCCCTGGTCTCCTCCTCCCATGCCCGCCTCCAGGACTTCTCCAGGGTGTCACCCATTCTCTGGAACTCCCTGCCCCAACCCATCAGATTATCACCTACTCTCCTCTCCTTTAGGTGCACCCTGAAAACCCATCTCTTCAGGGAAGCCTACCCCACCCCCTCTAATTGCCGACCTCCTCCACTCTTCCTACCACTCCATCCCCCACCACAGCTATCTCCTCCTGTGCCACCATCCCCTCCCTCCTAGATTGTAAGCTCGAAAGAGCAGGGCCCTCGAACCCCTCATGTTTTGCATTGTATTGGTATTGTTTTGTCACATGTTCTGTCCCCCTTTGTAATGTACAGCGCTGAGCGAACTATTGGCGCTTTATAAATACTGTATAATAATAATAATCTGTACTGTAGGAAACTATACTGCAGAGTCCCCCCTCTGTAGTACAAGGGGAAGATATACTAAGAGGGGGGAAATCTGAACCTGGGGGGCTGTACTAAGGAGAGGTTTGCACTGGGGAGAAGCTGTACTAAGGGGGAAGGACCTATACTGGTTCTGCACTTCTGACCCTTGCACTCTGTGTACTATGTCAGACTCCTGATCTATACACACTATCCTGTGTACTTTATATTCCTGACCACTGAACTTTTTATGCTACTTTGTACAATTGCTGGCTGCTCAAAAGTCAGAGTCAGTGGTTGTAAACCTAAGACATAAAATATGAACAAAGCATATGCCTCTATAGTGTGTGCTTGTCTCAATCCAGAGCTCTGTCATTTCTGCCTGCTGCCTCATTCTTCTGCTATCAGCATGAGTCACTTCTGACAAGTTTTCCTGGCACCAAGAAAAAAATGGTGACAGGTTGGGGGGGGGGGGGGGGGGGGACTTCCAGCAGATTGACAGACTCAGCTCTGTTCCTGTGTGCTGTGTGAAGGGAATGTGTCCCTCCAAATCAGCTCTCAGAGCTCTCCTCACTGATGTAACTTCAGCTTCCCATCCCCTGCTTTTCAGAGCTGAGAGATCCTGTGTAAGTTCTGCACTTTGAATAGATGTAGAGGAAAGAAGTCTATAGATAAACTTATGTAGGAGGATTTATTTAATCTCTGTGTATAACCTGAAGCCATTTACTTCACTGGATATATGTGAGGGTGTACAACCACTTTGATGAAGTTATGCTTTGAGGTTGGCTGTCTGCAGAAAAACATATATAAAGCAATAGTTTATTTTTTTTTACAAATGATGGTGCTGAGTTTTACATGTGTCTGTTAGATTTCTGCTTGTGGTACACTAATTAAATTAAAATATTTGTCTACAAAGAATGTTACAACTGTTACCATGTACACAGTGGGGTTGATTTGATTTAAAACTGGAGAGTGCAAAATCTGGTGCAGCTCTGCATAGAACCCAATCAGCTTCCAGGTTTTTTGTCAAAGCTTAATTGAAGCTGAAGTTAGAAGCTGATTGGCTACCATGCAGAGCTGCGCCAGATTTTGCACTCTCCAGTTTTAGTAAATTAACCGAAAGTGAGTAGGCCCAAGTTTTAAGATCCTCTCACTGTTAACTTAATTTTGACACACAATTCATCATGGCTAACTATTTTCCTCTGGCAGCCCACCCCCAGGAAAAAAAAAATTCTACTGCCCTGGTTGAATGGTTTACAAATGACTTCCTGCTATTCCAGATGTTTTTTTAATTTACTGCCCACTGTAAGGTACACATATCCGCATTTTATCAAGCATAGAACTGTAATTTTGACTGCTCAAAAAAAGACAATTATGAAGCAGTACATACCTTCTGGGTAAGCTGTCTAATAAAGAGAACACACACTGCATAATAATGCAAATAAGTTGCGAAGTCACTAGCTTCAGGCAGTTAGCATAGGTTAGGTCAGGGGTGTATATCACAAGGCAAACAAGGCATTTGCCTAGTGTGGGATTTCTCAGGGGGGCAGCACCACTCCCCAGAAGAAGGGACAGAAGAAAGTACACACACGGTATGGGGACCAGGTGGGATCAGAGAGAGGCTGCGAGCTGCTTGACAGTGTATACAGAGCCTGACTCTCATGCCAGGGGTTGTCTGGAGCTGTGAAGTTGAGTGTCTTTCTCTCTCTTGCTGGGGGAGTGGGATGTTCGGTGTATAGAGGGTGGTGGTAGTGGAAGGCTTTCTCGAGTAGGTGGGTGGATTGGGGGGTGTTGGTTGGTGTCAGGCTTTTTATGGGGGGGGGGATTTTTGTGTTGCCTAGGGCAGCACAAAACCTAAATACACCACTGGGTTAGGTAATGACCTGCTCTTTATCATCCAAAGTCACAGCTCCTCCCCCACAAGGTGAAAGAGCTTCTGGGCAATGTTCTAAATCACTCTGAGGTCCAGGACCTCCACTGACATTTACAGAATCAGCATTCATCACTGCCACCTTCAGGACAACAAAAATCCCTGGCTTAAGACTCAATAAGAGGTTGAATGATACTTGAGATCAACTTTAATTTTATATGAATATATAAAATTAAAGTTGATCTCAAGTAGTATACAGCCTTTTGCCATTTCCTTTCAAAGCAAGAATATAAGCTATTGTATGTTAACCAGCTTGATCAATGTCAAGATGACCTATTCAGGCAACACAGCAGTTTTGAGAACATTTTGCAACATTGCATGCACTAGTCATCTCTTCAAGGGACTCAGGACTAGGAGACATAACTGAAGGCTGAGGGTAATCCCTGATGAACGATCACCTAATATATCATTAAATACCTCTTTGGACATGATCTTCCATCACCAATTGGCAAGTTTTATATGACATTATATTTCCATTGTCTGGGCAGTGCTTGTAAAAGGGCACCTCAGGAGCTGATTATAATCGAAGACTGACGCATAACTTCTGATTTGATTACATATATATATATACTCTATACTGTATATATATTTTTTTTTCTTCTTCTTTTGCTATATATATGTACTGTGTGTGTATGTATGTATGTATATATGTGTATATATATATATATATATATATACAGTTGCAAGAAAAAGTATGTGAACCCCTTGGGATTACGTGGAGTTTTGC